CACGCTTCCAAGAGATGCTTCACCAACCTCCTGTTTAGTTGGTTAGGTTTTTTTCTTTCTTTTTTTCCCCCTAGCTACGATTTCCCTCATTTGCAGTGTCACCTAAACAACAACAACAACAAACCTCAATGTAACGACCCACGTTATGCCTGACAGTAACCGCTGAACAGCAGGTTCAAGTCATACTTAGGGAAATCTGGCACACTCGAACGGGAACTTCTCACTGGGGGGACAACAGCAAGTGAAGCCTCTTCACTAGATGAAATGAAGTGAGCCCCCTCAGACTCCTTCGATTGTTCACACAAATGTGACGGCTTCCCACCTTTTATCTGACCAGCCACTGGAATCAGATCGGCAGCTCAGTCCGCGCTTCCCTCTGCTTCGCGCTGGGCGGGCGCAGCAGGCAGCAGCCAGGCAGCAAAGCTGCACTCGGGCCCCGGGCTTAGAGCTGGGCTGCAAAATCCACAGCACTAGTCCTAGGGCAAAGAGCACAGGCCTTGTGCGAATCCAGGGCCGGAGAATTTGCGTTTTATTGCATTACTGTTCAGAAATCTCAGCTTGAGTAAAAAATAATAATACAACCTCTTTTTTGTGTTATTCTTTACAGCTACAGATACAACCTCGCTTACACCAGTGGTGCGCAAACTGATGTCCGCTGGAGTCTGCAGAGGCCCTGGAAGAATAACTCTAAAATGAGTGTGTTGTGCCCCTCAGTCCAAGTCCCACAGTGGTCTCTGACCACTGAAGTTGGCATTTTCCTGCCAGTTCTCCTTCAGAAGTAGCTAGGAGGAAGCTCACACATTATAAATGGTTTAATAAAGATCACTTCCTATCTCTCCTCATCGAATGGTGGACAAAGATGGCCAACACTCAGTCAAAAGAGGAAATTGTATTTCTGTCTTTGAAGCCACATTAAAGATGAATCTAAAAAAAATCCTAAGTGGATGCTGAAGAACTAATCCATTTGCAAAATTCCTCTTTTTGAAGAAGTTAACTAAGAAACCAGCAAGAAGCTATTTGTAAGCATGTCTATCCACATTTAGTGCTAAAGATAATGCCAAGACCAGGACGTTTAGGAGGCGTAAGAGAATAAGGGAGCAACATCCGCATGCTTAGTTTTAGGCTTCTCCTCAGTATTTTCCACGGCCACTCAGAGGACCATGAGAACAGTGCCAGAACAACTGAAACATAAAGCATTTGAACCTACTTATGGGGACAGCACTCAGAACCCCCTCAGAAAAGGAATTATTTGAGAAGCTAAGGTTCCTCTGGTTACCTCTTCATACTGGAAACATACAGTGTTAGCCCCCAAAATGTCCGTTCTTACATTGTAATGACAGAGCAGACAACCTCTCACTCCTACAAGTGACAACCTGCCTCTGTTAATCCACACCCGCGTTACCTGTGGCCCTGGGCCGAGCCGGTGTGCCCGCACTATGGGTTTTGAGAAGCGTCATTGAACCAGCTGCACCTGGATCAAAACCCCAGCAGCTCCTTTTTCCACGGACAGTACAGTGTCCCTGCATTTCACTCCCTCTGCTGGCTCCATTTTATACCTCAAATGAAGTTTTTCAAGACCTTAAATTTGTTTAAGGCTGGGATATCTAAAAGTTCACCTCAGTCTTCAGGCTCCTGGGTCTGCTCAGCTCTCCCCTCTGCCCTGGCACCGTGGCTGGCAGGGGCAGAGCCCTCCTGGCTCCTCGCCGGGCCATGGCATCCAGGGCTTGTACAGGTCCGTGGAGGCACCACCAGCATCCCCAGTTGCAAGCCTGAGTGGGAAGCGTGCAGCTCTGGTCTAGGCTCGGTGCTCCCACCTCCAGAAGAAAGCAGGACCTCACCTCGACAGCTCTGTAACTGTTGGCTGCGAAAGCCTTGGGTACCCACACGTAAGTGCAGTCAGCCAAGCGCCATGACAAACCCTACGCATGCTGCCAGCGCCTGCTGGCTTTATGTACCTTCCAGAGAAAACTAGAGTATACGAAAGTGCCTCCCCTGGACGCTGCTCTACAGCGTGCTCCCAGAGTTTTATCCCATTTCCACGTGATATTTATCATTCTTGATAGCATGACACTCACTTCAGTGAAGGGATATCCCTGCTCTCTCTCCTAGGAACAATTAAGCAGTACTTCTGCTTCATCCTTACAGCGCGCTCTCTCCTGGTTCTCACTGTTTACTCAATATTATTTTTACTTCTGCATTGACAACTGCACAACAGGAAAAATACTAGTTTTGAGTTGATCAGAAGAGGCAGTGTTGGACGACACGCGCTGTCCTTGTCAGCGGAGCAGCAGACGTTGCCCCTGCCGGCTTCCTCAGCTGTTTCTCCCAGCCTGCCAGCACCAGTTTCATCCTCTTTGGCTTAAGCCTCTGCCAGGCAGGGCCAGTTCTGGTGGACACGCAATGGAGATGCGTGCCGTAGACTTGCTGAGGACGCTCACTGCAGCAGGCGCAGTTACCCCTAACCCCACACTCACCGGAAAGGCAGGACTTGCCATAGCCAATAACATAAAAAAAATTAGGCGCTTTATACTCGTCTCACAAGGCACCGACTACCACTACACAGAGGTCAGTCTGCTCATCCTGCCGTGATCTAGAAACCCACTAAGGCTGCTGAAGAGTCCAGAAATTTAAAATGGACAGCCAATCTTACAGGTGCATGAGAAATTTTTTCTTCTTGGCTTCTTGTATTGCAATCGTATTTGCTTTCTCTCTATAGTTCCTGTTGAAAAGGGAACGTGCAGCGATCACAGCTCTCTTCTCTACATACAGACACATGTTCTGCCAGGGGAAATGGCCTTCCAATACGGTATTTGGAAAAAAAAATTGAAAAAAAATACTTTAGCTCTGTAACATTTTTTAGAAACACACCTCTTAAGTTCCAAATAACACCAACGTTAACAGTTAGCGTAAAGTGGGTGCATGGCTCTGCGTAGACCTGCGAAGCCACGTGCTTCCTCCGCGCTCTCAGGCAGGCAGTGAGGAATATTAGCCCCCTTGGGCGACACTCACTGATGCAGCCGTGCTGCGCAGACATATTCTTATGCAATTTTTTTGCTTTCCAGTAGCCACGTGACTTTGTATGGCAAGAATTACTCAATGTGCGGTTCCTGTCTGAAATGTCCAATCCAAAGTATTCAAAACAAGTTTCAAACAAACCAAGCATGTCAAGCTTCTGCATTTAGGCAGATATTGTTATTTTACAAGTGGGAAAACTGAGGTAATTTTTTTTTTTTTAAAGAGGGGCAGATGCTGCACGTATGCAGGCACCAAACATCCTCCGGGATTGTCTAAAGCTAGGAAGAAGCATTGAAGAAAACCAGATATGACAGAGGTTGTACATTTGGGCATGAATCTCCCCAAACCATTAGTGCTTTTTGCCAGGCACACATTCACCCTGCCATAGAAACTAGTCTTGCACCTTATTGTTCAAATTAAAATCCTCGTCTGCAATTATTTTATATTTCAGATTTTCAGTATTTCTTCCTCGGTAACATACCAGGCTGTGTACCCAAAACCAAAGCAGAAGTTGCTTTCTACACTGTGGTTACGAGGAGTTAAAGTTCAGGTTTCTAATTGCTCTCTTGAGGCCTTATTACTTGTTGATTAGGTCCTTTTGGGAATAGCATCAAACCTATAATAATAAACACTCATTTCACTGGAAAGTTTGTAACCGCCGTAGCAGCCCTGCAGCCCTTCTGCCTCCCCAGCTGGCACAGGCATAAAGTGACCAGAAAAGGTGTTTGTAACTTCTCCGAGAGGCTTTCCGGGCTGGCCGTGTCTGACCTACGGGCTTTTTAGCAGCCAGGTTAAGAACTGCATCTCCACCTTTGGCAAGGCACTTGCTTTTGCGCCTGCTCCTCTCCTCTCTCCAAGCCTACAGATCCAGGCTGCAAAGCGGGGTCTGGCTCAGGGGTGTGTATGTAGGGTGAGCGTGTCTGTGCAAAGACATCTGCTGGGATTCCTTCAAAACGGTTGCTACTTTCCTAAATGCTGGCAGTTTTCGGGACAGCAGCAAGTATAGGAGAAGTAAGGTAGCCAGCGTACTGCTGTTTGCCGGGCAGTTTTGCGGAGATTCCTCCTATCGATGTTCATAGCGCTTTATCTCCGTGTTATGTTATGGCATCGAAACAGGACAGATGGCTCGGAGGTGCCATGCCGGAGCCTGTGTGCCTTATGCTTCAGCAGAATAATCTCATTTATCAGGATGCTGAACGTTTGCTAGTATTGATACAGTTCCTAGGCTATACCCCTTCGCGCAGTGAGCCTCCTCCCGCGGGCGGCCCGTGGCTCCCAGCCAGCCCCGTGGGAGCTGCGGGCTGGTGCCTGGGTGCCGGGTCGAGGCTGGCTCTGCCGGAGGCCGGGGATGCTGCGTCCCGCTGGAGCATGCGGGGCTCGCGGGGACACGGCCTCAGGACACCAAACTGTGACAGAAGGGCGTTTGCCGGTGAGAAGCTGTGAGGGGACCATCACGAGACACCTACTGCCCAGCCGGTCATCCCATCCCCGTTTCTAATCAGCACTCATGTTCTTAATTTTCCAAACCGCCCAACTAGAATAGTTTGATGTGTAATTTTCAGTCTAGGTCCTTTGAGAGTATTTGGATAGCATCATTTTTACAGGCTGGATTTCAGAAGGGATGGAGAAAATAACATGGTCTCTTATAATCTCAGGCGGGAGAGAAGTTGCTGTGAGTCTCTGATCTCTGTGAGTCTCTGAAGTACGGCAGCGGGTCTCCTTGAAACCCCTCCGTAATGAATTAGCCTGAAGTAAAAGTAGGTGTTTATCTCAAGTCGTTGCCTCAGATAGCTGGCTACCTGTTGGAAGAAGGGTCTGATCGATGCAAACTAAGGCAGCCATGCGTGAGCTGTTACACAGTGGTTAGTATTGATCAGAGCTAACGGCTGCCGATAGGAATGTGGAGCGGACTGACAGGCAGAGAAGAGGGAAGGAGGAAACGGCCTTCGCTGGTGGCAGACGTACAGAGGAAAGCCGATAAAAAGTCAATTCCACTTAACTGAATGGCTGCTAACTAAATATTTTGGGGGCCAGAGCCTTCCCAGATAGCAGCTGGAGCATCTCTGCTCCGGAACTGAGACATCAAGCGAGCGTGGCATCGACGGCTGAGATAAGAGACGCTTGTGACGGCTGGCAGAGCAGGAGAGCCTGACGAGCCGGCATGCCGGCCCTGCACACCGAGCCTGCACATCGGCCCTGCTATGGCACCTGCCACCAGCACCACTGGCTCTTCATGATGGGAAATGGGAACGGTATGGGAAGGGTTCATGGAGCAAACATGGCCAGTACTTAAATACCTACTTCACAGAGAGAAAGCAATGATTTGATTTCAGCCCCTTTCCCCTCAGATCCTGCTAAGGACTGGTGCAAGGGTTACTTGCTTGGCATGGAGAAGCAGCACAGATTTTCCTCTGCCGTCTGGAGACACTTCTCATGCCAGTGTGGGACCAGTGATGGCCACAGAGCCTGTTTCAAGTCTTGACTATATGGAAAGTTCTAAGAGTTACGGCTCACCAGAAGTGGTTTGGAAAAGTTGGTGAGATGCTGTGTGAGCTTGTTTGGGTGGCAGTGCCATTTCTGCCTGAAGCTGCCGGCTGACATCATAGTGTTCATGCTCCCATTTTCCAGACCAGAGATGTCTCTGCATCGGGAAGGACTTCAGAATTCAAAATATATACATAACGGTTCTCTAAATGATGCACCAGGTTGTGAAATCTTACTGTACGAAAGGTGCTTAGAAACATGGTGGCATCACCCCGTGTCAGGAGGAGACCGAGGAGCTCTCCTATAGCTGTCCGCTTCCTCCTCAGCATAGCATGACAGCCTTTGGTTGTCTTCCTCTCCGAATGGCTCGCGGTAGTGCCGCTTTGGGGTCTGGTACATGGTACGGTCATGTACTGTAAGAGACCGCAAAGCAATCAAGAATTGCTTTTCCCGGGCCCAATACTCAGTGTTTAGACTATGTTTCAGGCCAACTTTTAGTGGACTGGATCAGTGCGTAAGGCACCTAATACGAAGTAGTTCTCCAACACTGTGATTAATAGGGTCATAGTCATAGCTTCAGTTCAGGTTCAACCTTTTTAACATTTTATTATTTTACAGAGTAATAAATCAGGACAGCAGGAAAAGACAGATGTAGGAATGTCCCTGTCTACCCGCCTGTTCATGAGACAATGGGTCACAGGATAATGGTTTCCAGGGTTGGGGCAGCCGATATTAGAAACTCTACTAGAGAGGAGTTTGTAACAGAGCCAGCACTGCCCCGAGGAAGGAGGAGGAGGCTGGAAGCTGGTTCGTGTGTCCTACAGAGCTGGAGTATTGAAAAGGGCAGGAGCAGGTCGGGGCTCCCGGGGAGCTAACCGGGATGAGATGTCTCCTTGCAGACTGCAAGAGGAAAGGCAGCCGTGCGACACTGCCAGCATCCCCGAGTAAAGTGGGATGCTGCCCTTTCTCACGGAGCAAATGAGTCCGTTCCTATCCTTTCAGCACCAGCAGTGGCCAAATCAAGCTCACCACGTAGGTCCTTAACGAGCTCAGTATTACGGTGATGGAATACTGCTCCAATATCGTCATGGGAGACTACAGCTTAAAGAAAGAGAAGCAAAGACGTGTAGGTCCAGTGCAGACTTCAAAGAGGAGAAGGCAGAAGCTTTGCGGTTCAGTTTGTGGGAAACGATATAGATGATACAGATGGAAGAAAGTACGGAGATGTTTTTATGAGATTAAAAGAAGAAGAGAAATAAGCGTAGAGGTTCAGTCTCTGATGAAGCTGATGGAGAGACTACAGGAACATGAACTTAAACAGGAAGGGAAAGGACTGGAGGTGGTGAACTCGAAGCTTGACTTGTTAGGAAGGAGGGATGGAGAAAGAACTAGAGATCTGAAGGGATAAAACGGACAAATCAAACACTAAGAAAGGCTGTTCCGGCAGTGTACTTTATATGGACTGAAACGTGTGGGCTGACAAAAAGAGGTGGCTGCGGTAATCAGAGCAAGAGATGATGGAGCCTCGGAAAAGAGGTTTTCTTATTTGAACAGAGAATGATCAAGTCATTCAGAAATTGTGAAGGGTAAGGAAAAAAAACTGGAATTCTGGTTTGGTCATATTAAGTTAAAAACTCCACGGAAAAGTAATAAAAATCTAATGAATGTACTTTGCTTCTCATATCGACTGGTTTGTTATGTGCAACGCAAATTTAGGGATAGCACATATAGATGCAAATAAATTCATGTGGAACATAGCGAGAACAAGTCAGACTAATGTTTGAAATTTTTGCCCTATATTTATAGCTTGCTGCTTATATTGCAGAGCAAAGCAAGTTTTATATAGAACAAACATTTCACTGTTTTCCATCTTACTTTAACAGGATTTAATTTTACTTCTAAATTTTAATTAGTTCCGCGAAGGGGCCTGGCAGTCCTAATGCACAGGCATTACAACTTACAAATTATTTGTCATTCTAACTTAAAGACTGCTAAAAGAGGTATAAGCCACAGATCAGGCACCTGATTATCAAAATATTGTCAGCACCTGGGCTCTTCATATGGATGTATTTATATTTGCGAATGTTGATACTGTAGGTATTTACAAAACAGAGCTACTGTCCTCATTTCTGTTACTGGCTTGCTTACACTATTGAAGGTATTTGGTTTTCATGCAGCTTTAGCAAGCTGAGCTGCCCGGGCCACATACATTAACAGTGCACGCTTACATTCAGAAATCCTACAATTTTTAGATATGTGCTTTTTAAAGATCAGGGCTTTGAAACCTTATACTTACTTTTATACTGAAAGTTAAATGTGAGATTAGGCCGCTGCCTGACAATGAACCTTTAGTTACACGGCAAAGGCATCGGCACAGCTAGAAAACTGCCTTCAGCACGCGCGTAGCACTTGCTGGACAAACAGTAAGATGATTTAGTGAAGAAATCAGTTCTAAATTTCAGTATGTTTTTCTGCTAAATACTATGCAATGCAAAACTGGATTGAAACCCACATGTTAAGGCTCAACCTATTTTATTCTGCTTTCTTACCAGGCTGCATCCCTATACTCTGTTATATTGTTATGTTTTAAAGCTGACACAGTACAGGAAAAAACTAATGAAATCTATTAGACTTACAGTACAAAAGAGGAGAGATTTCTAAGAAATACTGCACAAAAAAGCACAGATTAAAAAAAATGGAAGCAGCAGAGAACAGCAACTACGTGCCACAAAAAGATAAATACAAAAAGCTCAGCTCTCTAAGACACCCACAGTCTCCATCTGTCATCTCAACCCTTCCTCTCCCAACTGTTCTTAAATTAAATGAATGCTTCTAATGGGAGATTTTCTCATGAAAGCTTATGAGAATTCATCCAAAGACAAATTAAAACAATGCGGTGTAATCACGCAATTCACCTCTCTAACAGGTTGCCTGGCTTCACTGTTCACATTTACAAAAGAAAGAAGAGCAACAATAAGAGACCCAAATACAGAAAAAACAACTAAAGAGCAAACCTTTCATTGACTGAAGCCGATATAGATGCAGGTTGCTCCCTGCAACCATCCTTACAGTTGTATAGCTGAGACTAAAGGTTATTTTACTCTGTATAAGAAACGACTGTACACATCTGATTTAATGATTTTGTTCTTTGTAGGCCTTGCAGTTTGAACATGTCTAAATGGATCAGCAATGTTAAAACAATATATTATCTTTTCCTTTACGTACATAAAACTAGCTTGGGCTACTGAGTCTAAAGTCTTTTTAAAATATATTTTCCTACTCATCGCTTATCATTTTAGTTGCTTTTAGCATCCTATCTAGCATCCTATTCATGTCTGGATATGAGTAACATGTCCAGACTTTCAATTTTCACTTTTGTTTCTGGTCAGCTTAATTTTGGGGTTGGTGTGCAGTAACAAAATTCTTCAGTGTTTGGGTCAAAAGCATTTAATTTCTATCACTTGTAGCCTAGATAGATGTATCAGCAAAATTGTAATGAAATATTTCTATTAAAACCAGCTCTAAAGGAGGGCACTTGAAAAGGAAACATCTTAAATTCGGACACAATCACGTGTCAGTGCCTTCTGAATAACAGGTCTTAGTTTCCTCTCTATTTCACTGTTTTGCTCTTTCAATTCACAGCAGGTAGCCTGATACCAAATGAGATGTTTTCTTAGTCCATAGTCCCACTAAATTTAGATCTAGCAGCACACAGGAACGTAAAAGGGACAAGCCACCCCTACCACCCCAGAGAAGTTCCCGGCACCAGGGACAGGCCGAGGCTGACGGATGCGTGGCTGGGGCCTTGCTCCTCAGGGGCCACCAGGTCCACGACCGCTGCTGTAAGCAGGTCCCCGGCCAGGGCAGCACTCAGGAGCATCCTCACCGGCCGGGGAGGGCAGGAACAACCGGACGGCCACAAACGGCTGCCACGAGACTGGTTGGGTAAATCAAGGGCTCCGTCTTCAGTCACCTCTGCTCCAGACCTCTGCTTTGCTGCTGCCCCTGCTTCCCTTCCTTTCTCTGGGTCTCAGCACCCGATTGCAGCACTCGCTCAAACGACAAGCCCCCTTGGATTTCCTTCTCTGTTCGCTTTAATCTCTCTTGCTCCCTCCTTTTCCTTTCGCTCTCTTTGCATGATTTCTGCGCTCACCCTCTTCATTACCAAAGCCACTCGGACTGTTCGAGTTCACAGCGAAAGGTAACTGAAATCCTGCCCAGATCCCCCGGTCTCTGTTGTTTTCTCCATGTGCTCTTTCACAGTTTCTTTTACTGAAGTCCCTCACTGTTGTACTTAACCACCGTGAGTGACAGAAATCCAATGCTGACCACTTCATTATCTGCCGACCTTGTCCCCCTGGCCTCCTGCCCCTCCATCTCTCTTGGGCAGTTTGCCCTACGTCGCAAGTCCTTGTTAAAGGTCAGGACCCCAAACCATCAGAATTGGTCGTGTTTTTTTACTGTATCACCAGAGAAATCAGGCCTGTCGGATCTCATTAAAGCCCTATTTATGGGTGGAACGCCACTCCTGGAGCAGGATGAGCTGCTACCTTTGAAACGCAATCTTCACCAGATCCGATCAGCATTGCACAGGGATTATATTCCACCAGTCAAT